CGCACTAATTAATACGCATCCTACCTGAGAGTTGAGGGCGTCGTGTCGATAGTCCCTTGTGAACACCCCACACAGAGCTTCTCCACTGGGCAGATTTTTGTTAAAACGGTTCTGAACCGTGGCTGCCACTTGGTTCACAAGGGCCTGACTGATAAGGAAAGCCTTCCATTAATCACATAATAAAGTCCAGGTGAAACCTCAGAGAACCACAGGGATTGTCTACAAACAAGCACTGTGGGGAGCACAGGGAGGTCCACACCCCTCACAGCCTCTGCTCTGCATCCACTAACCCATGTGCCACCTTCCTGCTGCTCGACTCACCTCACAGGAGTCTCAACCCAAATAAAATGGGAAAAAATGGTTTCATCAGAGGAAGAAATGGGAAACACAGCCCACACATCAGACAAAAACAGCATAGAGAGAAGTGGTGAGTCTACTGGAGGGGGACGGCTGAGGGAGGGGTGGCCAGTGTGGCCTGGGGGTCCTTGTACCTTGAGGTCGTCTCCCTGGACATCTACATTGCAAGGAGCAGAACACTGACCAGGCAGGTGGCCTCACCAGTGGAATCAGAGAGTGTGCACACCCACACACAACTATTCCACAATTCATACTCAAAAAAATAAATTTCACCGTGACTGAAGTGTAAACTTTAAGACATAAGCATGAAGATACTAGAAAGTGAAGACTTTCATCTATTTGAGCACACATGGAAATGCTAAAGACACTGGTAGATCTGACTATACAAAGACAGCAATATATTATCATTAATATGACCACAATATAGCAAAAAGACAAAATGACAAAAGCATACCTGTTACAATTTATAGAGAAGAAGTAATACATTTACCACGCAAAATTCTGACAAATCAACAAAAAGACAAAAAGGAAAACAGGCAGATACACCCACAAGTGAACTGGTGAATAAAGAAATCCCACTGCCCAGAAAGCACATGTAAAGAGCCCCAAACCACCAGGGATCCAGAAACACATGTTTCAGTATGAGACAGTAGTTTTCATTTATCAGAATGGAAAAACTTTTTAAAAGATCATAGGAACGCTGGGAAAAATAAGAGACAGTACACGTCCACGTGCTGTCAGTGGGAATAACAATGGATATAACTTTTAGAAGAGTAAGTTGGCAACATGTGTGAAGCTGACTTCATCAATTCCACTTCCAGGAAGCTCAGTTTCTCTTCATATATTTTACTAATTTCCCTGCTTTCACAACTATGAAAATGAAAAAGCTGCAAG